TTGAATTTTGCAATCATACATACTTCGCAATCTAAAATAGTATCATCGACAATCGCGGTTCTAAGATTTGTATTTTCTGAAAATTTACTCTGAAGAGCTTTTAGATAACTAATCGACGCATGACCCAACCTTACATGCCAAAGCATAGCTTTTTTATTTTTAGCAAAACTTTTGTAGTTTTCATCGAATGGAGACTCTTTCTCTGATAATTCAACAATAGGTAATTCATCTATATCATGAAATTTTCTATCCCAGATAGACGTGTCAAATTTATTTTCACTCTCTACTACGGATTTTACCTTTTCAGATTTTACAACCAAGTCATTATTATCTACATGTAATTTTTCTACTGGTAACTCATCTCTTTCATTATCATTACATTCATTATCACCACTAGAATCAATATCGTTTTTAACCTCATCTTGTATCTGTTCGACTGCGTTTGAATTTTCACTCTTCTCTAAAATTTCTTTCGCAGTCACACTCCTCGTTTTATATCTTATTTCATTACAACCATCCGATCTATCTGAAGTTAGATTTGCAATTATTTTTCTATTTATAAAGCTATTCTCATCATTACTCTGACTATTATTAATTTCAAATTCTATTATCCAATAAGGTTTGTTATAAACTCCAGTAATAAATGATTCATTTGAAACAGGATCAAAAATGTCAATTTCTTTACTGTCTAGATAAATACTAAATCCCATTTCTGCAAATTTTCTAAGTGATAATAAATTATCGGATAAAGCTTCTGCATATATAACATTTTCTATTTCGATCGATTTATTATTATTTAATAAAAACTCGACTTCACCCGCTCCTTCCGTTCTCAAATCTGCGGATTCGTTTTTATTAGCGCATCTAATTTTACCATGATCTGATTCATCAAAGGATTTGAATATTATTTTACTATTAGTTAAATGTTCTGTTGCACCCGAATCAGCTAGAAATTTTGTAAATATTTTACTTTGTTCAGAAACATCTTTAAATTTGCAACTGTTATCATCAAGATCGGACTGTTGTAAATAATACTGACTATGATTAGTTGGAAGATTCTCAAAAGACATCTTACCTTTATCTTGTTTAGTTTCAGTGAAATTCGCACCTACGTCTTTCTCCTTTGACTTCTGTTGAATCCTCTTATCATTGTTTCGGAAATTTTTATAACCTCCTCTTCCTCGATTGGATTTGAATCTTTTCGCATCTTCGCCTCTCTCATTATTATTCTTCCGTTTCCAATTTTGTCTTCCAGTATTTTGGAAAGCTTTCGACCTTTTCATAGCGTTAGAACGTCCTCTGGCGAAACCACGGCTACACCCTCTACCTCTTTCACCATGGGATTGTTTTGTTTTCTTCAAAGGACAGTCGGCTGCTTTATGGTTGGTCACTTGCCCACACCCATAACATTTTTTCAGTCCTGTCCCTCTCCATGGACAATGAATTGCTATATGACCCAGATCATCACACTCATAACATCTGTCTAAGCAATCACGTCCTTGATGAGCTTGCATTACAGTTCCTGTGGTCTCAGACGCTGTTGCATGGTTTTTATTAGCTTCTGCTTGTAATATGAAAAGTTTTAATTTTTCATAACTAAGCCCTTGACCAGTCGAAGACATTGTCATGAATTCAACTGATTGAACATCAGGAACGGTGGTCATAATAGCACTATAAAATGCGTCTTTCTTTTCAAGTTCTGACAGTGGCTTAATACCAGACAAATTTCCGTAATTTCTAACAACATCTTTAAATTTTTCAATAAAATCTGAAGCTTTTTCTTTATTTGGATAATATTGCATATTATGCAATAGTCTTCTGAGTATACTTATGATCTAAATGATTAATTAAAATGTCTCGAACTTTGAATTTATGTTTTTCAATAATATCAGTATCAAGATCTCTACGCGGAGCGCTAGTCGGATCAATTACTTACAGTAATTCATGAGCTCTTAATTCCGATGTAAAAAGATCATAAAAATGTTCAAACTTTGTATTTGGTGTAAGTTTATAATCTCGTTTCATACCCCCATCTTTACTAATAATTTCTACTTTTAATGTTTCTTTAATTTTATTTGCTAAACTGTCAGAATTTTGAAATATGCTTACACTTCTGTCTACTTTTAACTTTTTAAACTCTTGTTGTACTAATTTAGAAACTTGATTTTTCAATTCTCCAAGTTCACTACTAGAAGTACCACCGTTCGATCTGCTCTCATCTCTATCAACTAATTTTTGATAATGCTCATGCATTTTACTGCATTTATTATTCACATCTTTTATTTGCTTACGGGTCTCATTATTTTTGTCTTCAAGGGTTTTTGTTTGTTTAACAAAAACATCTTTTTGTTTATTGAACTCGTCAATAATCAAACCTTGAATTTTTTCCATTTTAGCAACAGCTGCCTGAGCACCTAACAGAGATTCCTGGCATTGCTTCATCATATTGGTAGAGGATTCGCAAAATTGCCTCACTAGAGATAACACTTCGTCTTTATTAGTGTTACTCTCCACAATTTGTGAAGCAGTACCAGAGGTAGCGCTTCAATTTCATTATTTTTTTCAACTATATTAGAAACGGAAAAATGTTTTGATTTAATTTTATAATTAAGATTAACTGATTCTATAAATTTAATTGATGGTAAAGATTTACCTCCTTGGGATAAGTCTGCTTTGTTTAACAGAGTACTTTCTTTGTCACATCTCTTTTTCTCGCATCTCTCTCTCTCTCTCTCTCGGCCTCATCTCCACTCTCAATCGCATCTCTTAATAATGTCTCCTCATCTTCCTGAGACACAGATTTTTGGTCATCATCTCCTGGTGAGACTACCCAAGGACCATCTCCTTCTTGTTTCTCAATCCACTTAATAGCGGCTCTCCACTCGTCCTCGTTCATATTGCTTTTATCTGTTAAACGAATTAATTTTTAATTAATAATATTCTTATACCAGGAGCTATGCCTTAATTTAAGCCTGGTTGACTGAACAACAAGTATGGCCAGGTTAAAGCAAGCAGTAATATATATAATCCGAGCACAAGATCATACATACAACCACTTCAGTAATTCAAGAAGTAAATGAATACACAGCATCCATCACTAAGTATGAATCACAAAGTAAAACCTTGTATTTATTTTTGAACATACCAGTTAATTATTATTCATTATTGTCAAAACTTAATTTTGAATTAGATGACCTTAAGTGAGAAAATCCAAATAATTGGATTAATTCTCAATATTTTTATGTACATAAAATTTATGATTTTCAACCAACCTGCTTGATATACCTCACGCGTCTCAACATGGAATATCTCTCACCACTAATACTTACTTAGTGATATTTCCTCTCCAGGATGGTTTTGTTCAAATTGAAAAACTTTTCTGTATCTTTCCAAGAATTTTTTAAATAATTCCTCGTCTCTAATTTCTGCAGATAAATATATAGCTATTAATATTTTTATTTATTTGTGTGCACAATACTAAAATTGTAACTCTATACAACTTTAATTTATATTTATACATAAGTATAAAATTTCGTTAAATCAATTTAACTTTTCAAAATTAAATCTGATAAATAAACCGCGTCATTTGGATACAAGTTAAATATTTAAACGTTGGTTTAAATTTCTATTTAAACCAGTTTTAATCTTCATAAACGTATAAACGTATGAAGTCACTCTCAATATTTTTCTCAAAGTAAACATTGAGTAACAAAGGCGCATCTCAGTCTTTTCAAAATATCCAACAACCCAACGATTGTTCGATGCTGTTACCATGTGCGCTTGGCCCCATGTGTAACGTTTCAGGTTACATAGTTCTCAAAAGTAATAAAACTTGGTTTCAACACTTCTATATACAACATGTAACATGAACATTTTAACAGGCAAGGAATATTACAATATTTCTTCCTAGTTAACAAATAAAAATTCTGCCAAATTTATAATTTAAAATTTTTAAATTACGTACGTATTTTTCGCTTCTCAAAAATTCATGCTCATCTCTTAAATATTCTAACACATCTCAAATATAAAAATTTTCTTTCATATTACTTACGTTGACCGTTGTCATGGTCAAACTTTCCAACAGAAGACGCTTCTTCTGACATTTCTGCAATTTTTCAAAACTTGAATTGTTCAAAACTTCAAATCTTGATTATTCACTTCAGTTCACTTAAACAATTCACCTCACGTTAGTCACTTATGTTCTCGAGAACTTCAAAGTTTCTTATTGAACGTAATAATTATTTATTGCTTAAAATTTTGAAAGTTTTTTAATTTATTAATTTTGCGCAGTGGACACGTGTACAGCTCATAACCTGTTAGAATTAGGTAGGGCCTTTTAAATAAACAATACCAATTAATAGTTAAGAGTATTTATTAATATGTGCATCCGCACGTTACCAAAACTCAATCGGAAGTAAGTGGTGGTACAGTTCTCAAATCTCATCTCAAGCAGGGATCATGACATCACATGACCTCCCCACTACTCATGGGGTAAGACGGTTAGGCGTTACTTCCAACAATATGATTAAAAATTTTTAATCCTAACTGAATCATTTCAAATCATAAGAGGTGACAGAAATCCACGGAGTATTTTATGATTAGAAATGATTCGACATGATTAAAAAATTTTAATCATTATTAATCATTCTATATTCTGTCAATTTCTCAGTATTTGAAATGATTTATAATGATTAATTGTGAAATTTCTAAAATGATTTACATGATTAAAAAATTAATCTTTTTTAATCATTTCAAATCATTTTGTTTAATCAGGGTTCTATAAAATTATGAAATATTGAAAGAGTGTCCGCAAAAGAATTGAACTGAATTCTTGACAAATTAAAACAAGATAGAACAGTTAAAGAAGATTATACTTTTGCCATATAAATTGATAATAAAGATCAGAGTAAGTATGAAAAAAATATGAGGGGTAAAATCTACTGAACGAATTAACGAATGACCTCGTTACGTTTTCGTGCGTAACCTATCCTGCGCACCTTTCACTTTTCAGGCGTGAGTATTAAAACGTGCATAGGGTATGTAGTCTAGTCAACAAGTGCCTTTTTGGTCAATTTTTTTCAGCAGTCTCCGAAAATTATAATTGAGGTGTCATTCGATTCAGAATGGCATCTAGATGATTTTTTAAAAAAAATTATGTTCCGCTTGCAAAAATTGCAAAAGTTATTAACAGCCGAGACCAGAGATTGCAGTTTCAATCGGCTTAGCGAAACGAATGGAAATTTTGAAAAAACGTTTTTAGAGATAATAGATAATTTAATAAACTATTTCACCACAAAGCGTTTTTTTCAAAAATTTCATTCGTTTCATGAAACCAATCGAAACTGCAATTGCTCTGCTGTTGGGAGTGCGACAGAGATAGTTCCGTTGAACTCCGTGAGAGCAAAGCGAGAAAAGGATGGTTTCGCCTGTTAACAACTAACTAAAAAAAAAAAAAAACAGGAGGGCTTAGTTTTTTGCAAATATCTCAAAAACAAATAAAGATTTTGAAAACTTTAAAAAAGATTCAATAAGAGGAGAAAATTTCTTATAAAAAGTTCCGACTCCCGGAACTGTAGGACCAATATTTATAATTTTCCCAGAGGGATGAAAATACGGCCGAAAACGGGTGTAAAATTTGAGAAATGAAAAAAATCAGGTGCTTACTGAAGAAATAAATAAACAATAATCCGTCTGAAAACAATTTTTGAATTAGTTATGCAATAGTTAATCAATATTTTTTTTCTGCTTGAATATATACATTGCAAGTGTGATAATTGTTAAACTATAAATTTAAGATTTTTTTCCTCTTTTGGAGCAATTTTTGGAAAGCTTCAGAATAAATCCTCGTTGGAAAAATTAAAAAATTTTTATTTTTCAGTTTTTTATTAATAATTTTCGTTGTTGCAAAATTAAAAATTAAAAAAACAAATTTTGTCGATGATTATTTATCATCGAAAAAATATATTTTTTCAAAATATTATTAATGATCCGTTTTTATGTTGTCAGAAGCTGCATAGAAAAAATTATTTTTTATTTTTATCTCTTGTTGTTAAAAAGTTAACATCCATAAAAAATTTTTTGTATTTCTAGATTTGAGTATTTTTTTTAATTTAAAAAAAAAAAATTGTGTGTAAATTCCAATAAACTCCAAAAATTTGTTTCAGGAACAATTTTTCTTTTAAAAATCATTATTTGTATCAAAGATTGAAATTCCATAAAAAAATTTTCAATC